CGGCAGGTCGTGATGAAGAAGCGGTTTTCTTTTGCGGCACGATTTTGGAAGTTTTATCCATTGATGAACAAGAGAAGAAAGAATTGAGAATGATACGGTTCGATTAGGGTTCGAGGAATTTAGGTGTGAAGATTGTGAAGCAGAGAGATTTGTTGAAGGAAAGAAAAGGTAGAGACGACTTTGAATGTAAAAGTTTGAATGAGGAAAGGCTAGGGTTTTTATAGGTAGATGGCGACGGTTCAGAACCGGTAGTGGCCGACAACAACTGAAAGACATTTAATGTCTCGGCATCCGAACTGACGAGACGTTTTGGTTACTTCTGCTGCTTACGTCATGATGTATCAAGGTGAAAATCGAGAGCTCAAATCGCTTCTTGTCATTACTCTCCAAAAAATGAGGGGATTATCTATATACGATAAAAATCGGGCTTGCCTTTTTTGTATGATTAATCGAGACCGGGGCGTGGTAGGCCAAGGTTCGACCCCATGTCATACCAGAATGTGACACAAAGTTAGATTTCCAAGCTCGTGACTCAAGGACCGATCGAGATCGAGATCAGCCAAGACCAAGACCGAGGGAAGCCTGCCGAGCCAAATAATGGAAAGCCAAAATATCTGCAATCGGGCGAGGATTACGGCAGAAATCTCGGTGCGTATCAAGAAGGGGCCGATTAATTAGCTAATCCTGGGATTTCTTACTTAGTAAGAATTGTATCAAAGGTAGAATTCCTCTACTATATAAAAGGGGTCTGATCACTTGTAAAAGGCATCATATTCATACAATACAAAGCAATATACTATCTTTTTCTTAAGATTTCAATACTCTGTTGCTCTGTTCATATTTTCTAGTAGAATATTCGTTGGTTCGAGGGCGACCCAGCTTGAGGGCCAAAGCTATACATTTATTTCGGTTTGCTTTTATTTCTACTTGCAGTCAATTTCAATATCAATTTACATATTTTCTCAGCATATGCCAAGTAAAATCATGTGTCCTTAAAACCACGTATAAATTCAATTGTTATCCGTTTTAGGGTAAACAATAATCAATTTTATTTCTCCAAAATAGTATAATTGGATCTTCCAGAGCTTTTAATTAATTTTGTACTACTAAATATTCATCAACATCCATGTGGTGGATATCTCTTTCAAGAGAAAGTTATACTATTATGGTCATTGGCAAAAATTATTATAGGCAAGATATGTTGCTTCCATTACTTTTGCCTTGTAATAATCACATTTGCCATAATATTTTGGCATAATCACAATAGGTACGTGATCAATAACTACTAATGCCATAATAATAAAATTATTTTCTTATTTCGTCTCAAACCTCCTTCTAGAGGTGAGTGTGGTATATTCATTACTACTAGCACGTTCATATTCTTCCAAGAATTAATATGTATTCATAAATCACATATTATCACATTCACATCATGAGTGGACCATAGTCATCTATATGTGCTTTACGGAATCTCATATCAAATCGATGACAAACATTAATTTCACATCATGAAGGATTATATTAAAAATCCTTATTATTCTCATTATCACAATGATGACGATTATAATTTCGTCTATTGCCACGTCCATCCATTGATACCTTCACTTAATAATTTTATTTTCTTTTAGACTTATCACTTGCTTCTACCACATTCTCTTAAGGGAATGAGAATGAGTCAAATTCAATAGGACGGGTTTTCACTTCTTGTGCGCACAATCATACATGAATTTGATCATGGCAAGGGATAAAAATTTTGCCACTTTGGGTGGTTATAATTTCTTACAAACTCCATTACAGTTATAATTAAAATTTATTATCTTTGCTTGTATTTAAAATCAAATTATAGAATGTCAAGAATTTAAAAGAGAAAAATAAGGTAAAATACTTACCTTAAATCCAGAATTTTTTCCTGAGGGAAGTTCATGGAATAATTGATAATCATTATGCGCAATATTATGTATAAGTTGAGCACCATACACATATCCCAAAGCCTCTACAATTGGTTGGAGTCTCGTGCTAATAAAGTGTTATTAAACAATAAAAGAAGAAGAAAAGTATTGCAGAGAAAAGTAGAGAGAGAGAGAGAGAAAATTCTTATTGATTTTGGGATGAATTCAAATGGAATAGAACCCTCTATTTATAGGGAAAAAGTGGCTTATCCAAAAAGTAACAAACCCTAAAATATCTCTAAAATATAGACATTCACCTTAAATACAATTCTATTTATAACAAGGGCCACAAAATTACTATTTCTCTATCTATAGTATCCAATTTATATAATTATCTTTTATCGTTGATAAATTTATTTCCTTATTTTCAAATTATTTAATAACTTCATTTCTTTCTCTTACTAAGTAGTACAACCTAATTAATTTTCTGCCAATCGGATATTACTCTTTTGCTGAATTTTCTCTATTCATTAATTGGTTACTTTACTCTATCTAATAGTTCAATTTATAATTTATCTTTTCTCACATAAATTAAGTATTTTAGGGGTTCTCTCATTTCAGTTGTGATGCAGTCAAGCACGGAGTTGCCGTAACAAATAATGTTTGCAACGTTTAATTCATTCCGTTTTTTGTACTTTATGAAATCAAGTTCTTTTTATCTTTTTTTTTCTTTTTTCATTCTTCATATTTACTTGCCTAAAAAGGGAAAATTTCATATTAAAACAACTGGGCTGCCTCCTTTTCAACTTTATATCCCATATTTCAATTTACAATTGAATAGCCCAAAAATTCGAGGCCCATATCCGAAAAAGGGGCGTTATTTCCGTTTTTGGGGAGTAAGAAGCCGGATTTTCTTTGTTTCAGATGGATTTTCTCTGATTCTTTCCAATCTTCTTCCCTAAATACTACAAAAACGAGATCTTGCGATCAATGCAGCTCCAAACACCCTAGAATTTCTTTTTCATCTCGAATTTCTTCAATTGTTTTGCTACAAATCAGCGCAATTCTCATTTTTTGCTGCAATTTTGATTTCAATTTTTTGTTCGATGGAGCTTTTTTCAGTTTACGTTCTTCATAGTGGTGAATGGGAAGAAAACAAGTTTATCAATTTCGTTAGCGATTGTGTAATAATCGAGTCGACATTCAGCTACAACAATTTAGTTGCAGCTATTTCGGAACAGATTAGGATCGATAGTGAGTTAAACACAATAGAGATTAACTTTCTCCCAAATGATGGTTTGCAATCGATTCTGATATACAATGATACATGTGTAAAAGTGTATATCGAATTAAAGAAGAAAAGCTTGAATTTCACTGAATATCCCTTGTTTGTGACAATGAAAGAGATTTATGATAATCATTTGGTTGCTACAAGTTCCAATTGTTTGGTTTCTACAAGTTCCAGTTGTTTGGTTGTTACAAGTTCTAATTCTATAGATGTATCCACAATTGATAGCACTGAGATTATGCCTGATATCGAATTGATTAAAAATACGAAACTTAGTAAAAACACGGGTATAATAGATAATATGTTGAACGAATTTGTTGAGGAGGATCAAGTTTATAAAGATAAAGAGACTGTTATGAATGTGATGAAGAACTTGGCTGTACGCGAGAGGTTCCAATTCAAGGTGAAGAGATCTAGTGCAACAAGGTAGTCATTAATTGTATATTCTGTTATATATATGTATAAATTAGTATATATTTGTATATAGGTATTAAAATTAGTATATATGTAGTTATGTTTTTGTATACAAGTGTATTTAGAAGTTGAATGATCTTTAATCCTAGGTATCACCTTATGTGTGTGGATGACAATTGTGCTTGGAGTTTCAAATCTTCTGCCGTTTTCAAGGCAAACATATTCAAAGTGAGAAGTTACAATAATAATCACACATGCGGCTATGGTGAAAGATACTTAACACAACGTCAAGCTACTTCGGGTGTAATTGCTAGTATAGTCAAGGATAAGTATGTTAATCCAAAAAACATTTACACCGCAAAAGATATAATAAAGGACATACAAAAGCAACACGGGATTGAAGTGAGCTACATGAAAGCATGGAGAGCTAAAGAGATAGCAATGGCAATGATAAGAGGGAGTCTGAGTGATTCATATAAGGAGTTGCCGAAGTATTTTTATATGTTGGAGCAAACAAATCCAGGAACGGTTACAAAGTTGCACAAATCAGAAGATGAATGCTTTCTTTATGCATATATTTCGCTATATGCATCTATCAAGGGCTGGGAGCATTGCAGACCGATAATGGTTGTTGACGGAAGTTTCCTTAAAGCAGCATATAAGGGTACCATCTTGACTGCTTGCACACAGGATGGAGCTGGTGAGTTGACTGCATCTACCTTGTTTCTGCAATTTGTATAATATTTTAGTTTCATGTATAAAAGTGTATAGGATTTCACAGCTGTTGTTTTTATAAAATTTGCAGTTGGTATAAAGTTGTATAACTATGTATAAGATTTGTATAATTGTCTGAATCCTAATATCTATTTTATATAAATAGGAAAAATCCTTCCACTTGCATATGCAATTGTAGATTCAGAGAATAACAAATCTTGGGAATGGTTCTTTGTCCAGATAAAGGGTACTTTTGGAGTTAGGGAAGGGATGTGTATAGTTTCAGATAGAAATGAAAGCATCTTCAATGCCACAAAAGTTGTGTACCCAGAAGTACATTATATTTGCATGTTTCACTTGTGGCAGAATGTAAAGCGCACATTCAAGAAATATCACAAACAATTGAAGGATATCTTCTTTGCTTTGGCTAGAGCTTACACGATAGAGAAGTTTGAGTACCATATGACATAGATGTGCAAAATTGATCCAAGGGTGCAGCCTTACTTGTTCGAAGTTGGCTACGAAAGGTGGTCTAGGGCATATTCCAAAGTGAAAAGGTCGATGGTAATGACTTCCAATATTGCAGAGTCAATTAATGCAGCTAACAAGGATGCTAGAGAGTTACCAGTAATGCGATTGCTGGAGTACATGATAAATTTGCTACAACAGTAGAACAACAAAAATAGAAAAGTGCAATGGAGACATCTACACAGCTTGGTGAAAAGTATGACAAACTCTTTCGGGAAAATCTGATTGCATCGGAGCAAATGACGGTAAAATCAATCAAATATAATGATGCTTGGCACTGCTGACTTGTATTTTACTACTTGTATAAGTATGTATAACTCTGTATATTAATGTATAATGTTCTTTAACTTTTTAAAAAAAAAAAAAACTTTTGCAGGTGAGCTNGGCACTGCTGACTTGTATTTTACTACTTGTATAAGTATGTATAACTCTGTATATTAATGTATAATGTTCTTTAACTTTTTAAAAAAAAAAAAACTTTTGCAGGTGAGCTCTGCTACGGAGCAGTTATATACTGTGTTTGAAGGGGTAAGGCGAAACATAGTGTGCCTTGAAGAGGGAACATGCAGTTGCGGAAAATTTCAAATGGATGAACTTCCATGTCCGCATGCTTGGGCGGTTTTGAAGAACCAGCAGCTGAAACCTAGACAGTATTGCTCTTTTTACTACAAGAAGGATAAACTCCTTAGAACTTATGAATTTCCAGTGAATCTGATGCTAGATGAGAGTTTATGGGTAATCCCAATAGAGGTGATGGAAGATGTGGTCCTACCACCTAAAGGGAGAAGGAATGCATGAAGTCCAAGAAAGGAAAGACTCATACCTGCTTCAGAAAAAAAGTCTAAGAGGGCGTTTTCATGTTCTGTGTTTGGACAAGGTGGTCACAATAGAAAAACATGTAAAAATCGACCAAAATAAATAGTTGGAAACATAACACTTCCTATTACAGTTGTTGTCATGTTGAGTAGTTAAGTTTCACAAACAATAGAGTTATAAATGTTGAGTAGTTAAGTTTCACAAGCAATTAAGTATTGAAGGGTGAAGGGGCAAATTCACTATTCGTTAAGCTTTTGAACTGGAAACATCAAATTTGTCCATTATTTAAAGCTAAAAAATTTCAAAATTTCCTGAAATTATTCCATAGGTGCAGATAATTTTTGCTATTCCTCATCAAGTGCGTGTGTATTTGTAAGTCTGTCATGCCATATGTTGAATTGTCCATCGCTGGTAACTGGGAAATGGGAGATTTGGCCTCCTTATATGATCTTGAATAATTATAGCTAGCTTTTGAGGTTGTTTTAGGCCAAGGCACATTCTCTTATGAAAATATTCATTAAAATGTAATTCATTCACAGCCACGTGTAATGACTACCACAAATTACACAAAAATAAAAACATCTATAATATCCTGTAAGGTTATCTCACAAGTAGCAGAATAGTACTTAGACAAAACTATGCAACAACTCCTGATACATAGAAAAACTACAGTAAAATGGAAAAAACAAAACTACTTTCTCGATCGTCCCCTCTTCCTCTTCCTGAAAAGTCTCCCTGTGATTTCATCACCACTAATTGCACCGGACTGCTGTTTTTTCCTTCCATAATCACACAACAGAGATCCCCACCTGGTGCGAAGTGTCTCAATGTCAAAATTATCTTTTCGAATTTCCTTACCAAGGATGAAATACTCAGCAAAGCCAGCAACAAAAGCACCACAATCACTGTAATTAAAAAGAAACAAATCAGATTCAAATAGGTACACTAATAGTAAAATAGTAAAACAATTGAGATTAACCTACCATTTGATCTGCTGGGGCACATTATTAACCAGATTAATCTGCAAAGCATCAGAATGGGATTTATCGGTATATGCACCATTGTTCCAATCAATGCCCTTCTTCTCGACATAAATATCTTAACTCTTCAAGAAGTAAGGTATCAGAATTGCATAAGGTAATGCAACATCCAAAGCAAGTCTATCATTAATAGCGCCACAATTAGAGTTATAGATGTGGATGTACCTATTTATGAACGTAAACAACCCCAAAACCCAATGGCCCAATTTTGCTCTTCCGCGCTTCACATAGATAGGGAATAAGACGTGGTCAACAGTGTGCCACGGTACATTTGCATCACAATAATATCCTCTAATGTACTCTTCTACTCATGCCCTTCAGGAATCACTGAAGGATCTTCATTTACTTTGAAATCTTTATACAGGGAGTTAATTTTGTTACCAAAGGCAAAGTCTGTTGTAGTAAACCGCATGGCAACACTCGGCCCATATTTTCCCCTCTTCCTCAAATAATAAAAGAGGACATCCAAGTGCTGAGACAAGAAATAAAACAGAACAACTATCACTACCAGATTTTTTAAATATAGAAATTTATACACTATTATACATAGATATACATATTTATACAAGGTTATACAATCTTATACAATATTATACTGTGATTATACAAAGCTATGTATACACTATGGGGGTCTCAAACAATAAATATATGCAACAAATAAAAAAAGGCAATAGAACAGAAATTGATTAAATACCGTGTCAATCAAAGGTCGACCACAATATGCAAGTGAGTGAAACCAATCCTTCGTGGTCACATGACACGAGCCAAAAGTAAAAGCTTCTGCAAGCTTATTTACTTCATCGGGATATATATTTTTGGCACTTCAAATCATAAAAAATAAAAAGTAATCAGAACTACATTCAATGACAAGTATAAAATCAGAACATGAAAGATTAAAGAAAGTGAAGATACCTTCGCCTCGTATCCATCCCATAATCAACAAACGCGCAAAACTCTTTAACCAATGATGACAATGGATCAAAATCATCAATTTCGATCGTGAAAGGATGCTTGATATCAAAAATAAGCTTGTGCACCGATCCTGATGCTCCTGAATCAAAAACTGGCAAATATGGAGATTTGGCATATTTTCCTGGTATTTTTTGTCGAACTGACTGTTCAGGAGAAATGTAATCATCTTCTACGTCTATGATGGATTGTTTGTGAAGAACAATTTGGGACATCTGTAGCGCAGCTAAATCTTCATCACCAATATCATCCCAAAATGTGCCACCCTTAACATCACCTGTTGCCCCTTAGACAGAGAAAACAAATAATAAAAAACTTTAAAAATGAAGAAAAGAAAAATCAGACAAAAAAAGATAAAATGCAGAACAAATACCATGATCAACACCATCAGTAACTCCCTCGTCAGCTAGCATGTTATCTTGATTCACTTGATTGACAAAGTTAGCAACAACATCATATTGATAGCCATCAAATTCGTCGAGACCAGATGTATTGTCATCAGACATGCGCTGAGGAATCTAATAAAAAACAATAGAAAGAGAAGGCATGTTGAGTGATGATTCAAAGAATGCATAACTGTTGAGTGATTTGGTTTTATCAGTAAACAATTACCTTAGAATCAGTAACATCCTCTCTCGTTTGCTTGTTTTCCTTCATATTCAGAAAACTAAACACTTTTTAAAAGGAAGAAACTACATAATTGCTGAGTGTCGTCACTGTATCAGTCAACTACAGAAAAAAAACAAATCAACAACCATGTTTATAACAAAAAAACCGTGTATATACAAAAAGTACTGATAAACTACAGAAAAGCTAAAGGTCCAGTACCTTTCCAACAACACTCCTCAACTTCTCAACTTCAACATTCAACAGATCAATGCGTACCAAAGGATCATAACTCGGGTTAGGATGTCGATCCATATTCTGAGGAAAAGGTCGTTTAGACCGTTGTTCTGTATTCTGAGGATAAGGTCGTTTAGACTGTTTCTCCATATTCTGAGGACAAGGTGGAGATGCAGTGACAGAATCTTTAGTATGAAAGGCAGGCACCACAGGCACCTCCCCTGATGCAACATCATCGGCATTAACTTCAAAAAACGTGTCGATGTTCAGAGTTGACATCTCTTTACGAGTAGGGGAAATGTTCCTATAGTTCAACTACAAGAAGAAAAACTGGATTACAATAGTAGAAAAAGAAAATTGTGACATATTCATAAATATACATACAGAAAAACTGAAATCATATATAAAGAAGTATTATGGTACAAAATGTTTACCTTGTCGATACTACACATGATCACCCCACCAGTCAAATCCGTATATGTTGGAGTTTTAGTCACTTTCCAATTAAGAATGCGTGGCACATTTGTGCCAACGCGAACAGCTAAATGCTTGTCAACCATAGAACAACACTCAAAAAATCATATTTGTAATGTAAGCGGCAAACCTCCAAGCCTATACATTGTCAAATAGTCACATTGTCTGTCCCTCATTGTCCTTAAAATATCTTCAAATGACTTTTTTCCCCAAGCATACGTCTGATATTGACCACTTTCAATGGTATCAAAATCATCTTTGTTGATACCATGATTATTGGCATCTGAGAATATAAAATGATGGACAAACACCATCAAGTCCATCTTGAACGCATCTTCGTCCGACTTCCAGTCCTTTTTCTTGAAGCGATCAAGAAGCTGCCCTCTCGTTATAGCCTTTTTTTCATCTCCTGGAAAGTACTCTTTTAGCAACCTATTAACATCTGGTTTGTCATAGAAAGTGGTGTCGTCTTTTACACACTTCAAACCAGTGATAACAGCAAACTCTCCAATGCCAAAATGCAGCAAACAACCATTAATTTTCATCCACAACTCCTTTTCCCGTCCTGGGATGACTTCCCTCAATAATATACAATGAATAAGTTGATTTTGAATTTTAAATTGAGGGAGGTCCAAGAAGTACCCAAAACAACTAGCACGGAAAATTTGAAGCTGCGTGTCAGTCAAACATTGCTTCAAAATGCTCACAATATTAGTTTCAGCATGGGAACTAATCCTGTTGTGGAAATGATCAACTGGTTGTATATAGAAGTCCCCAACCTTGCA